TATCCCTGCCGACTTCGTCGCGGGGGATACAATAATAACAGGCCCGCTGTGGAGATGAATCAATTCCGAGGGAAATATTGGGGCAGTCCTTTATTATCTAGATGTGATGGAGGAGAAGCTAAAAGTGTGGTCAAGTGATGCATCGGAATTGGTAGCTGGGCGTGTTGTGATGTTTGATGAAAGTGTGGCAGAGGTTCATAGAGATGACATGTATAAAACACTGTTCACAGACACTGATGATATTCAACACAATATATAGGAAGCACTAGAAATCACACTCACACATTTCCAACTAAGTTTACACAGGTGCACGCATGAAATGAGAACACACATGAAGTCAGACAGGGGGTAATGGGACGCTGCGGCAAAGGTACCTGCCACTAACGTTGCGAGTGAAAGAGACTTTGGACAGTTGGACATGCTGAGGCAACGAACTAACGCACAGACAATTAACATGGAAGCAACGATCCTAGCTATACGCTAATAATAAGACTGCAGACTGGTTAGACACATTAGACATACATCACAAAAAGAGGTACATTAACACTGCAATAAGTTCAGTCAAGTATGTAGAAGAAAAATATAAACAAAGAAAACTCGCAGTTTACAAACAAACAAGAACAACTAGAAGCCAAAAAAATAGCAAAGCAATTAAGAGACGATAACAAATGACAAGAAAAGACAAATCATTGAGAAATTGCACGAACTTGGGGGGGGGGATGGAAAACGAAGGAAGACATAATCCAAAAGCTTGATCAGATAAAATCTAAAACAGGGCAGAGACTAGCACAAGAAATTCAACTAAGATATCACAAAATTTTACTAGGTAATGACGCACCACGAAACCTATTCATGCAACAACATCAAGGAAAAACACTGACAGTAGCACAACTCACCGACAATTTAGTTAAGATAATTAGTGAATACAGTTCAGATACACTAGTTCCAAGCACGAGTGAAATAATTAATGCACAACAACCAGGGGCCAGCATTAGGAAACGAGAATTACATGAGGCAAAGCAAACAATATTAAGACAGCTACAGACACAGATGATAAAACCAACCATAATGCACAACAAACAGCAAACAACAACAAACAAACAGACAACAAATCGAAAGCAACCAAATAAAAGAAAATCCACAGAACATGAACCAAACGAAGTACTAGTGACAAAAAGAAAAACCGTAACCAACATGCAACCAACACACTTACTGTACAGACGGGTAGAACACACATTTGAAGATGAAGACACAAAACAGCGCATAACTGGAACAATACTTAAAATAACACAACATAGTTCAGATACATTAAAAACGAAGTATTTAATAGAGTATGATGTTGAAGAGAATGACGAGTGTGAAAGTGATGATGAACGTGTGTAAGCGCAGTTTGAGTATGAATTATTAGACGACTACTATAAGGGTGATTTAAAATTGTTAGATTAAGATTCATTTAATTATATAAGTTATAATTAATAATATATAATGTATAATATATAAGTAAGTGTAAAAGCCTTGTGTAACTGTGGGGGTGGAGGGAGGGGGGTTTTCTGGTACGGACTGTACTGCCATTTGGGTTGGCACGTTTCGTGCAAACTGCCAGAAATTAGTTAAGTATATAAGATTTATGTAACTGTGGGGAAGGGTGAACTGACACTGTGATTATTGCCAAATCATACTTTTTCTGAGCTATTTTTGTTGCTAATGGCCATCTGCAATGGTGGTCGCCTTCTCACTATCATGCTGCCAACATCTTTCTATTTTGTTTCGTCCAAGTTCAAAATATTCGTTGACTCGTAATTTAAATGATGTGGTGATTTATTTGCATACAGTATTTATTATTTTATTATATTCTGTTACATGGCGATGATTAACATGTTTTGTTCCATACAAAGATCTAGATGACATAAATATGAGCATTTTTTCCCTTTTTTTAAATGCTACTAATGTTTATCCTATTTGATATATATTTGAGAACTCTTTTCCTTTTATATATATAATTGATACACTTTTCCTTTATTTTTCAGTTCACTGCACCCCTACAATGGCTTCACAGTTATTTGTGCCCAGCCTGTGGTGTGCAAACGATTTGAGGAGGCGTTGCAATGCTCGTCGCTGTGCGAATTTGCATTTGCCTGACACTGTTGGCATTATAGATGCTCACTGCCATCTGGACATCATAAAGATCAGACCGGTCCCTAAATACGAGTTGCCACGCTGTCTTCGTGCAGTAGTGACTAATTTTATTAGGCCCGATTTGTATGAGTCTTTTGATGAAATCATGGCACTATTCCCGTGTGCTTGGGCAACTGTTGGTTTACACCCGAAGTATGCCAATCAGTTTGGTCCAGATTTTCAATCAAGACTGGTTCGAATGGCTCAGAATGATCGTGTCGTTGCCATTGGCGAAACAGGCTTAGATTACACAGGTGTTGCGAGATCTTCTGGTACTGTGAAACAGAAGGCAGTATTTGCAGCACAGTGTGAGATAGCCAAACAGCTGGGGTTGCCTGTAGTTATTCACTGCAGAAATGCAGAGGCTGACTGTATTTACCGCTCGACCACCCTATCCATCTGCACCGTTTTACAGGCAGTTGGGTCCACGCACAGGGTTGTTTGCAGCATTTCACCAACTTGTGTATTGGCGTTACAGGGCTCGTTGGGAGATCCAGCAGTGTCACCACACTGGCTCGAAATCTGCCACTGAGCAGAATGCTACTCGAGACGGATGCTCCTTATTTATTGCCTGTAGCTGCACCAGCAGGTTCGCAGTTTTCCCATCCTGGCATGGTGCTAGCCGTGGCTCAGGAAATATCCAACATTCGTGGAACATCTGTGACTGAAGTGTGTAGGCACACAACGAGCAATGCAGTGCGATTGTATAAGCTTCCACTGTATTAAGTGCTGCCAGTATATAAGTTGTAGAATAAACAGATGGTTGTCCTGCAATTTTCACCTGGTATTATTGTTGCTAGGTTTGAAGTGGACCTGTCTCACACACATTTTTTTATATAATATAATATATAAATGTAACACTAATACTATATAAATAAATTTCTCTATCTATTATTAATACATGTTACTCGTTTTTCTTTCTGTTAACAGGAACAGCATACCATAACACACTTTTATTGATTTAACATAAATTTTATGTAAATTTTTACCTGGTGGGGTCAAGTTAATGATGTCATAAGTCATCTTCTATAGGTTACTGAGAGGTAAAATTAAGGGTACTAATTAGTAGGTTCGCAGTTTTCCCATCCTGGCATGGTGCTAGCCGTGGCTCAGAAAATATCCAACATTAGTGGAACATCTGTGACTGAAGTGTGTAAGCACACAACTAGCAATGCAGTGCGATTGTATAAGCTTCCACTGTATTAACTGCTGCCAGTATATAAGTGATAGAATAAACAAATGGTTGTCCTGCAATTTTCACCTGGTATTACTGTTGCTAGGTTTGAAGTGGACCTGTCTCACACATTTTTTATATAATATAATATATAAATGTAACACTAATACTATAAATTTCTCTATCTATTATTAATACATGTTACTCGTTTTTCTTTCTGTTAACAGAAACAGCATACCATAACATACTTAATCACTTTTATTGATTTAACATTGACAGCGTTGACAGAAACTTCGTAAAGTTAAGAGAATTAAAAATTAACTTAAGAGATCCTAGACCCTCCCTTGACATTAACTTTCATCGCAACAAAATGGCAGCGGTAATAAGACGCAGACGTGTGAGAGCTAGTACTAATATAATTTACACAAAACCACCAAACCTTATCCGAAAAGACACCATAAAATACATGCAAGACCTTACGAATGATACGTGTCGGGAACGTTTCCGTATATCACGGAATAGCATTTTCATGCTAACGGAAATGTTCGCTGAACGAATAGAACGTGAGACCAAACGCCACTGCGCTTTAGCACCGATACTGCAGGCGAGTTTCTTCTATTATCGTTTCTTTTTATATTACTTGAATTTATTGTTGTCGTAAGAATGTCAAGTTTTGTACAGAGATTTCGGCCCACTCGGGATGAGGCCCCACGGCGATGTAAATCAGAGGGCTGATACGTCGCAAGAAGACCTACCGGCCTGCCAAAAACGGGAAGTCTGCTACCTCGAGGAGAGAAACTAGGACGATCAGAATGAGAGGAGTAAAAAATCCCATGGCTAAAAGTGATGCTAGGGCGTGCGAAACCCGCGTGGCGCAATACAATGGTGATGACGTCCGACTGGTGACAGTGGTGGCTTGCCCCGCGTATAAACAGGAGAGGCAAGGAGGCAAACTCCTTAAACGCGTGCAGACACCCATAGAGGAAAGACAAGCCGAACAGAAATAAAAAGAAAAAAGGGAAAGATAATGATAGATGGTCAAGGATTTGAAGGGGGGTACGTGTGGACGTCAAGCAGCGATGGCAGCAGCCATGACATGGCCGAAGAAGAGGGGTGCCCGCCCCTAGCACCCGTCCTCGGATGCTGAGCTACGAACCCACACCAAGCCCTGCCCAGGAGGCCCACCCCTCGCCCGCCGTATTGGCGTGGGCGAGTAAGGTGGTTGCCGAGGGTGGCGCCCTGGCGGGAGAAGAAGAGGCGGTCACCGCGCCAAGGCGCGGAAGGTTGGTGATCCTCCTTGCCCCTACTGTGCTCCTGGCCGTAGAAGAGAACGCCGTCCCCATACCGGGAGTGACAGCCGGCGAGGGCGCCGTCAACAAGATGGCTGCCGACACCCCGGAGGGTGCCGCCTGTTCCCCGCCGCCCGCCGACGGCAGCCGAGGGGCGCCGCCATCACCACCGCCGCGGCTAGCAACTGGCGAGGGAGAGGCGACAGCCAACCCGGCGAAGACGGCGACCCTGCCGGCAAGCGAGGGGGAGAAGAGGCGACGGCGCCGTCACCAAAAGTGCCGCCAAGAAACGGCAGCGAGAGAGGCTGCCGCGGCACGCGCTGTCGAGAAGACCCGCATCACCGAGGGAAGGAGGAAAGCCCTCAAGGCGCGCTATCGCCGAGAGCGAGTGAGGCGGACGTCCGGAGCGGCACCTCTTTGCAGGTGCCCCACTCCAGGCGGGGACCGTGGGGTCAAGTCGATGGGCCTGGTGTGTAGCTTGCGACCACTCCACGCTGCACGCACGTGCCCACGACGCGGAGTTACACACGCGTCGTGGGCCGGTGGTGCACTGCCCTGTCGGCAAGTGTAAGTTCTCCTGCCCCGCGGTCGTCGAACTCCGGCTGGCGCAGCACCTCCGCGATCGCCCCAACAAGCTGCGGGGCAACTTTCGGCGGGACCGCTGAGAGCGTGTATCCGAGGGGGAGAACGCGTCGTTTCGGGTAATCTCCATCGGGTACCTGCGCGGCATCCGACGACCGAGTACACGGCGGTCCGGCCTTGCTCGGTCGTCATCGAACAGGCCCTGCCGTGCCGACACCCGGCGCAGAGCAGCAGCGAGGGAGGCAGCGTTTGGCCGTGGTGGCGCCCCACCATCCCGCCGACAACACCGCGGCCCTGTCGACGACCCCCGCACCATCCGGCACGACGAGGGCGCCAATGGTCGTCGATGAGGAAATCCGCGGGATGTCGACCGCCACGCTACGCCGAGCCGACGTGCTCAACCGCCACCTACAGTTACGTGTAATGAAGACGGCCTGGCTACTGGAGGACGAGAAGGAGCGACGCAGACGGTCGCTCCGTCGCTCGCTCCCGAGGGCGTCCAGGTGCTGAGCATCCAGGCCCAACTTGCGGGGGACGACGGCAGTTGGAGAAAACCTTATAGGGTATAATCGCGGGGAGGGTGTTTTAAATTACATTGTATAAACTCGGGTGAGCATAAGCATAATTGGAAAGGATTATTGAGCATTATCCCTGATTCATCCCGTTTTTTCAATTCAATTCAAGAAATTGACGTATGCTCAGATATGGAATGCCGGGGAACGCAAGATTTCATCGGCGCAAACCAATTCCCTTACAGAAATTTTCGAGCGTTTTTCGATCGCAGAAGGATCGTAACATGGTCGCAAAAATTTTAGGTTCACATATATATACAAAGTTTTATACAATTGCAAAATGCAATGAAATACTTAATTTCTCCATAATTGCAAGGGCTTTCCGAGGTTTTGAATTTTACTGTGTACGAGTATCTTCTTAACTGCACTGTAGCAACTTGAGTACAAAACAACTCCAGCATTACTAGCTTTAGCGTACCCTCTTGTCATTTTGGGTTTATTTAGTAGCTTAGCGACTTTATTAAGTTCATCCGTATTGAATGTTTTTGAGCTGATCAAACCGTAATACGGTATAACCTTTTTGATTTGATTTTTTTATACATATACATAAGGATGAACTGGTGGCTATTATGAGTATGATGCTGTCTCAAATATTTTTTCTCCCATCTTTGGAACCTTTACTTTAGTAACATAGAAACTGCCTGCGTGATCTGCATTTCAGGATTTCTTGTTCCATGGAATAAGCAAACCAATCGTCCATTCATGCTTTCAAATGGAAAGCAACAAGGCCCTGTTGGTGACAATCACAACTTCTGCCGGTACGCGGTAACGCGGTGCACTACTTTATGCAGCAGCGCATTGATACCGGCTAGTTTCCAAGTGATGTGACGCACGCGCTTTTTCGCAATTGTGGCTTACCGTTGAAGACGCGAATTTTAATGTGCTTCTAAAACCCTAAAGAACCCAGCGTGGTAAAGGATTTGTGTTTATAAATAATTATTAATGTCTTTCTAAATTAATAGTAGCAGATTCGGTTGTGATTGCGTCCGTGTATTTGAATGGTATTTACCAGAAAGTTATTTATGAAGTTATGAGGATTAATGAATACCTGAACAAGATGTCCCTGGTACGAGGGGGTTCTAGCTATAATAAAATACATATATACAGACTATCAAACCTGTGACACCCCTTAATAAAGAGTATATCACCAAGCGTTGTGTAGCAAGTGTTAGTTGTATTAGGGAGGGAGGGAGCGAGGAATTATACTTATCATTATTTATCATCAATTATATTTAATGGAACTAAGAAAGAAGATAGAGGGACGCAAGCGGGAGCAGAAGTTGGAAGAGCCAGTTGCCAAGTTGTAGGAAACTGTGAAGAGGATGAAGAATCAGTAAACACTGATTTTTCTGACTTATCCCTTGCTGATTAAAACTGTTTTGAACAACTATGATGCAGGGTTTACTTTCAAACCTAAACAGGAGGAATGCTTAAGCATTC